AGTTTGGAGACATCTGGGTGGGGTTTGGAGACATCTCAGAGGGGTTTGGGGACATCTCAGGTTCCTGGTGGTCTCCATGGGTTCCTGGTGGGATTTTTGGGGTTCCTGGAGATGTTTCGGGTTCCCGATGATCTCCATGGGTTCCTGGTGGGATTTTTGGGGTTTCTGGAGATGTATTTTGAGTTCTTGATGGTCTCCATGGGGTTCCTGATGGTCTCCATGGGGTTTTGGAGTTGGTTTTGGGTTCCTGGTGGTCTCCATGGGTTCCTGGTGGGATTTTTGAGATTTCTGGAGATGTTTTGGGTTCCTGATGATCTCCGTGGAGTTCCTGGAGATGTTTTGGGTTCCTGGTGGTTTCCATGGGTTCCCAGGAGGAGTTTTGGGATTCCTGGTGGTCTCCATGGGGTTCCTGGTGGTCACCGTGGGGTTCCTGATGATCTCCATGGGTTCCTGATGGGATTTTTGGAGATTCTGGAGATGTTTCGGGTTCCTGGTGGTCTCCACGGGTTCCTGGTGTTCTCCATGGATTCCCAGGAGGAGTTTTGGGTTCCTGGTGATCTCCATGGGTTCCTGGTGGGATTTTTGGGGTTCCTGGAGATGTTTTGGGTTCCTGGTGGTCTCCATGGGGTTCCTGGTGGGATTTTTGGGGTTCCTGAAGATGTTTTTTGGGTTCCTGGTGGTCACCATGGGGTTCCTGGTGGGATTTTTGGGGTTTCTGGAGATGTATTTTGAGTTCTTGATGATCTCCATGGGGTTCTTGGTGGTCTCCATGAGGTTTTGGGTTCCTGGTGGTCACCATGGGTTCCTGGTGGCATTTTTGGAGATTCTGGAGATGTTTTGGGTTCCTGGTGGTCTCCATGGGGTTTCTGGAGATGCTTTTTGGGTTCCTGGTGGTCACCATGGGGTTCCTGGTGATCTCAATGGGATTTTGGAGTTGGTTTTGGGTTCCTGGTGGTCTCCATGGGTTCCTGGTGGGATTTTTGGAGATCCTGGAGATGTTTTGGGTTCCTGGTGATCTCCATGGATTCCTGGTGGGATTTTTGGAGATCCTGGAGATGTTTTGGGTTCCTGGTGGTCACCATAGGGTTCCTGGTGGTCTCCATGGGTTCCCGGTGGTCTCTGTGGGGTTCCTGGAGCTGTTTTGGGTTCCTGGTGTTCCCCTCGGGTTCCCGGTGTCATTTCTGCCCCCATGGCCATCTCCAACCCTGGTTTCTGGGTGGTGTGTCCTCTCCAGCGGCCTTCATCCGCGTGGTGGGCTCGGAGTTCGTGCAGAAGTACCTGGGCGAGGGCCCGCGCATGGTGCGCGACGTTTTCCGCCTGGCCAAGGAGAACGCGCCGGCCATCATCTTCATCGACGAGATCGACGCCATCGCCACCAAGCGCTTCGACGCCCAGACCGGCGGTGAGGACATGGACCTCCATG